GAATTCTGGCCTCCATTCAATCTCCAAGTTCCCTTCATTCATTTAACAGGTGTTTATTGTAGGTGCCTATTTTGTGTCACATGCAGTGGTGGGGGCTGAAAATACAAAAATAAGTAAGCAAGAATTTTCAAAGAGAGAACCCTCTCAAAGAGAACCCTCAGCTCACAAACTCAACTTGGCAATTATCTTGTGGTTTCACAGAAATACAGGTTTACTGTGTGAGTTTGAAAGTAATGAAATAAGTTTGAAATCTGGCTACTTTTCATTCTTTTGAGGAAAATTCCTGTATACACAAAGATTTATCTCAGACAACAACTGAAGTTTTCCACATTGATAAAGTTGTATTCTTATCTTATGGGTGAAAGAACTGCAATTCTTTTGCTCATTTTATGATATCTTTTTCAAAACTTATTGCAATTAGTACTCTTTATTGGTTGTGAGGTCAGTTTTGTTTTAAAATCAATGTAATAGCTCTCATTTTCTCAAGATGTAAATTGTCATATTATTCATCATATTCCCCCACTCATCCTACATATCTGCATGATATATTTGTTTATATGCTGGTAGATAATCACAGCCTACCAAATTTACGTAGAGTATGTAAAGCACATGTTCCAATAAGCACAGGTGTATATCCAAATATACAATGATCCTCATGCACCTGTAACTATTTGCATTATACGCACAAACATTAGCAGTTGTGCCTGGCTGCTTTGTTAGAAAATTCTAAGTACTCCTAGTTGGTAATACCTTTGCTATCTTCCGATTTAAGTTTGGTTGCCTAAATGGTTTCTTGAGGTATGCAATAAGAGTTAAAACAAGGTACTGAATCATAATGTCAAGCCTTCTGAAATATACCTGAAATGGTAGTAATAGGGAGCTACGAGCAGTGAAAGAACTACACATAATAGTCAGAAAATCTGTTCTCTTTCTTTTTTTGAGATACAGTCTTGCTCTGGCACCCAGGTTAGAGTGCTGTGGCATCATCATAGCTCACTGCAACTTCACACTCCTTGGCTCAACCAATCCTCCTGCCTCAGTCTTCCAAGTAGCTCGGACTACAGGTACATACCACCGTGCCTGGCTAATTTTTTCTCTATTTTGTAGAAATGGGGTCTCACTTTTGCTCAGGCTGGTCTCGAACTCCTGACCTCAAGCAATCCTCCTGCCTCGGCCTCCCAGAATGCTAGGATTACAGGCGTGAGCTACGGCACCTGGCCCAGAAAAATCTGTTTTCTATATGAGACTCTACCACTTACTACAGGTGTGTTAGCAAACTGTTGTTCATGTGAGCCTCAGTTTTCTTATCCATAAAATAGAAATGGTGATATTCTTGCCATACTTACAGCACTACTGGTGAGAAGCAAATCTTTGTAAAAATGCAAAACACTATATACATGTCTGGAATTAGGGCTAATGATCATTAATTTATAACCATCTCCTAAAAAGCACAGTATAATCAAGTTTTATTTTTTAAAGGGCACTGTTTCTTTACACTTGCTTCTAAATTGTCACAAAGGTTTTTATATAAGGTGTTGTATTTTTCAAGGACAGCACCATAGTTTATCTAAAAAAGGTGCTGCTATTACTAAGTAGTTGCTGGCAGAGGGCTCCAGAGACAGGTTTAGGAAAGAGATCTCGGGCAGCAAAACAAATTGGGTAGTAATTTGAGTTCCTTTTATTTTCAGATTGGGTTTAATGTGGAGAAATGCCTACTATTTTACGTGTTTCTACATCGAGAACTTAAAAAACTGTCTAATAGTTTTGATGTCAAACTCTTAGGCATGAAAAAGTCAGTAATGGTTTTAACCCCTGGAGACTGAAATGGATTTGTTTGCCAATGTTTTTCCATTAATGAAGATTACCTACCGAGGTCCCTAATGACATTTGTTTTTAACAGACCTCCAAATAAGCAGAAATCTATACACTATACATGAGAATAAACACTAATACAGTAGTTACCCTCTCTAGAGATCTAAAAGTCCATAAAAGACAATACTTTAAAAGTGTTAGGCTTCTCTACTACCCTACAGGAAATAAACATGTTTTATTAAGTGTATGGGAAACTTCTTCCCTTCAACTGAAATTTATATGGATTGCACGAATTTCCTAATGTGCTTATTTTGACCAGTAAAAGCACTACCAAAGACTATAAAATCAGATTCCTAAGGTACCATCAATCTACAGGTGTAGGCTGGGTGCAGTGGCTCACGCCTGTAATCCTAGCATTCTGGGAGGCCAAGGAAGGAAGACTGCTTAAGCTCAGAAGTTTGAGACCAGCCTGAACAAGAGTGAGGCTCCATCTATCCTAAAAATATAAAAATTATCTGGGCATTGAGGTACACGATTGTAGGGCCAGCTACTTAAAAGGCTGAGGCAGGAGGACTGCTTGAGCCCAGGAGTTTGAGGTTGCAACGAGCTATGATGATGCCACTGCAGTCTACCCCGGGCAACAGAGCAAGACTCTGTCTCAAAACAAATAAAAAAACAAAAACCTACAAGTGTAGTACGACTTCTCCCAACTAAACTAAATAAATAGCAGCTACCTTCCTAGCCTGAATACCTGAGTTTGTCAACAATATGTTCTATTTATTTATTTTTTTTTTTGAGACAGAGTCTCGCTTCGTTGCCCAGGCTACAGTGAGTGCTGTGGCGTCAGCCTAGCTCACAGCAACCTCAAACTCCTGGGCTCAAGCAATCCTATTGCCTCAGCCTCCACAGTAGCTGGGCACTACAGGCATGTGCCACCATGCCTGGTTAATTTTTTCTATATATATTAGTTGGCCAATTAATTTCTTTCTATTTATAGTAGAGACGGGGTCTTGCTCTTGCTTAGGCTAGTTTCAAACTCCTGACCTTGAGCAATCCGCCCGCCTTGGCCTTCCAGAGTGCTAGGATTACAGGCGTGAGCCACTGCGCCCGGCCAACAATATGTTCTTTTTAATACATTGCTTTTTTTTTCCACTTAACTCTCCCATTAACACATATCAGCATCTTTCTCTCTTTTTTCCACATCATACTATTCCATTATGTAAATGTGCCATAATTTCTACAAATACTCCTTAATTGCTGGACACTGGGTTATTTCCAGTGCTATTATGTACAATACTTCAATAAATAATTTTGTTTATTTGGGTTCAGTCAATCCACAGAATAGATTTCTAAAGTGACACTGCTTAGTCAAGGGGTAAAATGCATCTGTGATTTTGGTAGATACTATCAGTTTCTCCTCCAAAGGTACTGAGCAATTTGCAATCCCACCAAATGTATGCATACTTATTTCCTTAAGACCATCTATAAAAATACACATGCCGGGAGCCACCCCTCCCAAATTCTCAATAGATAAGGAGTTGGGCCTAAGCAGGTGTATCTTGAAAAAGCTTCCCAAAGAGCATATCCCTGGTTAAGAATCCCTGTTCTAAGTCCTGCTTACATTGTTCAACTCCAAAAGAAAGTCAGAGTTAAACCCTTAATCTACAAAGTTTATACTCCATGGTCACTCACTGAATAATACTTTTTGAGTGCCTATTATGTACTGGGCACTCTACAGAAGATGTTGAGGATATAAAGATACCAGGGTCTAACACTGAGAAACATATAATTAAGAAACAAGGTATAAATATCACTGTTAGAGATTTACATGGAATTTTATGGGAATATTGAAGAGGGGTACTTCACCCTAACTGGAAAGTCAGAGAAGGCTTGCTGAAAGAGGTGCCCTGAGGTGAGTAGAGATTAACCAGGTGAAAAAGAGAAGACATGTACAAGAGGGAGAGGGCATTCTAGGTAGAAAACAATATATGCAAAGGTAGGAAGTAAGAAACAGAAGGAATGTGTATGTGAGTGGAAATATTTTATACTACTAAAACATAAAATACAAGGGAGAGAAAAGCAAGAACTAGGCTGCAAAAGTAGGCAAAGATCAGATCACTGAGCACCTACTATGTCATGTTAAGAAGCTTGAACTTTATTTGGAAGGCCAAGAAAGTCACTGAAGGGTTTTAAAGCTGGGGGTGACACACTCAGATTACTATTTTAGATTTACAGATGACAATCGACTAGAGAAGCATATAACTGGAAAATGAAAGAAGAGTTAGGAAACCAATGCAGTAATCTAGATGAAGGTTTGAATTAGGGCAGGAGTTAAGGAGAAAATAGATGGGAGAAATCTTAAGAGGTAAAGTGAGCAAGCCATAGAGATTAGATGTGTGGATGGAGGAATGATTTCAATAGTTGTCATCAACCCACTCCCAGCACAGTACTGAATTTAAGCTATTTTTCTAGCAGCAATGATAGATTTTCACTGATTCAGTTATATTCTCTAATCTGATTTTGGCATTTGTGAGGTCAGGGATAGATGTATGGAGTCCAGTAGAACACAAAGACAGAAGTGGTAAGATTATCCTCATTAACATCATGCTTTAATCAACTAAGTAAAGCAACCACAGGCAACCCCAACAGCCAAGAATAACATGAGTTTTATCTCTGATGCACCCTCTCTATAACTCCTCCTCTATTGATGAGTCTCTTAACTCCATTTTTCTCTATGCCACTGACCTAGGCAACTGCTAACGACATAAATAATTTCCAGCATAGGGAAGGAAATGTGGTTGAGGGGCAGCAGCATGAACAGCTACTTTCCCAAAACTTAACCTACCCTGGCTAAGCTGTATTTTGGGAAATCTGGAGTCCTGCCACCAAATGAAGTCAATCTTCAGGAGTGAGATCTGGGGAGAAAGTCTCCTCTGAATCCTTCCCACATTACTGATTTATGCAAATCTAATGGTCCTGTGGAGCTGGAGCAGGAGGGAGTTTTGTGTAACCCATATTAAACCTACCACCTCTCTCTCTTCTCAGGGTTCCTAAAAAGCAAACTAAAGTGAAACCAAAAACCAATCAACAACCAGATGAAAATAAGACCACCACTTAGAAAGTCCATGAACATACACACCACACACACACACACACACACACACACACAAAGTAACACCAAGGCTTACCTTTCTTTTATCTTCATCTGTTGATTCAAATTTGAAAGTAGCCCTATGCTGAGGGGAAAAAAGGGAAAAAATGTTATTTCAAATACACAGATTTTAACTTTGGGCCATGTTTAAAAATACATGAAATAATATCCCTGTAAAAATGCTGCCTTCTTGTATTTCAATATTCTTATTAAGAATATTATAAGAAAGATATAGTAAGAAAGACAGGCATGTAAGCAATTATAAAGTAGTGTGAAAAAAACTACAGAAATGTATACAAAGTAGCAAAGAGAACCAAGCCACTAGTGCCCAGGAAAATCCGGAATGTTTTACATAGAGTAGAGAGCATTTGAGCTGGACCTTGAGGAATGAATAGGAGTTTGCCAGAAGGCAAATAGAATGCATTCTAAGGACAAAAGCAAAGGCTCAGATTTGTGAAACTATGACATACTAGTGAAGTAAGCAGCTCTGTGAGACTGGAACATAGAACATGTGTTTGGGGATGGGGGCATGAAGATGAGAATGGAAAAGTAGATTGGATAGAGATTTGGAAGGGTCTTCCAATGTTGCTGAGGAGTTTGTACTTTCTTTTTCAAATGCAGTAAGAAATCATCAGAGAACTGTAGATAGGGAAGAGACCTGATAGCATGGTATTTTAGAAAATTCTATAAGAATGAGTTTAAATCGTGGCTCCACCACTTACTAGCTGTGACCTTGAGCAAGAAACCAGGGGTCCTCAAACTTTTTAAACAGGGGGCCAGTTCATTGTCCCTCAGACTGTTGGAGAGTGCGCACTGTGGGGCCGGGATGTGTCGGCTGCTAAGCAGGACAGGCAGCAGCGGCAAAAATACCCGGAGGGCCGGATAAATGTGCTAGGCAGCCCGCATGTGGCCCGCTGGCCATAGTTTAAGGACGCCTGATAAACTCTCTATAACTGGAATTCTCATCTGAAAACAGGGGTTACCTAGGTCAGAAGTTGACTGTGAGTGTTAAAAAAGCTAAGGCATATAAAGCACCATCTCAGTGCCTGGTCAATACTCAGAAAATATTGTGATTATAATGATGATGATGATGACAATGATACTTAGGAAAAAATAAATGGAGGTGAAGAGAGAGTGTTATGACTCTCTTAAAATGATTGGCAACTCTATACTTTCCAGTGTAGCTAAGTAGAGAATGAAAGATAAAATAAATTGGCTTGCCCACTGTCACATAAATGGTGGTATCCAAAAAATAGAACACAGAATTCCTCATTCTCCTTTTAAATTTTGTTCAGGAGAACCATGTGCTCTTATGAATCCTAACCCTTCCTTTAAAAAAAAATCTCCACTGAACATCTCCCTAATTTTCCTTTGTATTTCTCTTATTAGTCACACATACAAATATTTATTGGCAACCCACCAAGAGTTAAGTACACTAAGTGCTAAAGATATCATCACCACTACAGGTGGTTCTGCGTTGACAGCTATATAGAAGCAACAATTTTTGAAATTAAATGAGATGGAGAAATGTTGGCAAACAAATAGTTCTCGATGTAAGAAAGGGTCAGAGGGAAGACTTGGAGATAAGAGATAAGGGCCAGTTGAGGAAATCTAAGGGAAGCTACCTCCAATGTAGAAGCAAAACAATTAAAATGGATGATGACCCAGCATGGTGGCTCCACACCTATAATCCTAGCACTCTGGGAAGCTGAAGCAGGAGAATTGCTTGAGCTCAAGAGTTCCAGATGAGCCTGAGCAAGAGTTAGACCCTGTCTCTACTAAAAATAGAAAAATTGGCTGGGCAGTGTGCACCTATAGTCCCAGCTAGTTGGGAAGCTGAGGCAGGAGGATCCCTTGAGCCCAGGAGTTTGAGGTTGAAGTGTGCTATGATGATGCTACTGCACTCTACCCAGAGCAAAAGAGTAAGTGTCTGTCTCAAAAAGAAAAAAAGGAAGAAGTCAGGTGGTAGGGGCACAGATTTAAAAATTTGTACCTGATCGGCAGAAAGGTGACAGGTTACCAAGGGAAGACTATGAGGCAGATGTGAACAGCATTCTGAAAGAATATTTTGGGCAGTAGCTCACAGGCCATATCAAAGGAGAATAAGACTGAGGACATAAAACTTTGTGAAGAATGGGCATCAATATCCAGGCATGATATTGTAGGTGGCAGTATAAATTGACACAAACCTTAAAAAAAGAAAGTGATTTGGCAACACAGAAGCTGTAAAAATATTCATAGCCTTTGACCCAGAACTCCTACTCCTAGGAATTTGTGCTACTGATCATTCAGAAGGAGAGAAAAACTATATGTCAGTATATTCACTGCATTGTTATCTAATACTGTAGAAGAGGAGACAGCATGAATATCCAACAAAGGAGACTAATGAAATGTGCATGTAACAATAATCTATTAAACATATCATATCTACCTGACAGAATATTATATAGCAATTTTTTAAAAAGATGATTCATTGTTGGTATATTATTTTTATAATATAAAGGGAAATTTAAAAAAAAAAGGATGAATAGCTGGGCACAGCGGCTCACTCCTAGCACTAGTAATCCTAGCAATCTGGGAGGCAGAAGCAGGAAGATCACTTGAAGCCAAGAGTTCGAGACTAGCCTGAGCCAAAAATAAAACTCTGTTTCTACAAAAAAATAGAAAAATTAGATGGGCATGGTGGCTCCCTGCTGTATTTCCAGCTATTCAGGCGGCTGAGGCAGAAGGATCCCTGGAGCGCAGGAGGAGTCTGAGGTTGCAGCTTGAGCTATGATGACACCACTGCACTCTAGCCCCAGTGACGGAGTGAGGCCCTGTCTAAAAACAAACAAAAGAATGAATGAATGAATATGCAAGGGAAGAAAGGAAGGAAAGAGAGAAGAAAGACGACGCTGTAAATCTGAAGGCTATACTTAGGAATTTAAAGACTCGAGGTTAGTAAGAACTAATATTAAGGACAAAGGTGTACCACCAGACATCAGGCTAAAAGTATAAACTAAAGTTCAGTAAAGTTTCAATGCAAATGAAAATAATACTAAGAAATCAAGAAAGCCTATTTTTTGTCCATTATATGTGAAATATTAATTCCGTAAATTGCCAGGAATAATTGTACCTAGTTGTTAATATAACAGTTCTTCTAAAACTTTTTTTGGCATTTGTAGTAAGGGGACAGGAAAAAAAAATCTCTTTTGGAAAGATACCAATTAAGTTACAAAAATATCTTTTAAACAGTTCCTATGTAGAATTAATCTTTTAAGGAGAGAAATCAGAATAGTACCAAGGTCTAATTTTTCTACTGCTTTTTAAATGTAAGACTGTCATAAAACCAAAACATTAAAGAAAGTAGCAGCAGCAGCTTCAAAAAGCCCTGTCTAGAACTAGCATGAGGGCTTAATTCAAAAATATACTGGTATATGAGGCACTACAAATTGAATTCTGAATCTGCCAATCTATTCAGAAGCTCAACCCTCTTAACCATCTAAACCTCTAAACCATCTATTGTTTAGATCCAATAGATATTGGCCTCTATATGGCTGGTTTCTTTTATCTAACTTAGATCATACCTAACCTACTCAGCACCCCTAACCTGTATTCTCTTTCCTTTCTAAGGCTGAAAGAGGGAAAGGGAACTAGCATTTTCTGGATGTAAATGCCCTTGAAGAACTGTTAGCCAACAGTCAACCACCACCTCACCTTCTTAATATGCTTAATTTCCAGAGAATAGGATTAAAAAGTCAAATGTAAATTAAAGAGTAAAACCATTGCTCAATTTAGAGACAAAACAAGCCACACCAGCTTAGTGACACACCAGACTCATGAGGACTCCCCACTGTAGGTTTTATACCACATGAATAGGCTCTAAAAAGCTCAGGCTCAGGAGTCAGACAAACTTGAGTTTGAGTCCAGTCCCACTACTTACTAAAAGTGTAACCTCGGTCAAGTTACTCCCCGTTACTACTCATCAGATTTTCCTTATCTTTATGTATGGCACCTTGCATATAGTATTAATAGGTGTTCAGTGGCCATTACTGTTATTATTGCATGGCCTAGATGTGATATCTGGCCCTTTAAATACAGACGTATTAGAGAACTAGGAGTTATTTTACAGATTTCTAAAGATACACTCAAACAGCACTAATATAAGAGAATAAACCTAATTGGAGTGGTATATATTTTGCTGTGTTTCATGAACTGAGATTACTTCTAGAACTAAAAACCAGTAACAGATTATACAACCCAATCTGGAAATAAGAACAAGGTATAACAAAAGAACAGCCCACTAAACATGTTCCTCTGCAAAACCCACAGAGTGAACTCAGAGTCAGAGCTCAACCTCAAAAGTGGAAAGCAAAAAGTCCTCTTACATGGGCAGGATATTTATAAACCCTATTCAAATGCAGAGGCTGTATTTATAGAACTGTCCCAATATTAGTTCTCTATCAATCAGGTTCTTCTAACACGTAAATGAAGACCTCACTGCTCGTAGTATAGGTTTCCTCTCTTATGGGAACCACTTTTGGAGACCTACCTACCTGCCTGTATTTTAAATAACTTTTACCCTTCCTTTGGCCATAAACTTGCCATACTTCCAAAATGGAATCCTGCTGGAACTTACTGCAATGTAGTCATATGTCCAAGTGGCCTCTATGGCTACTAAACCACCTCTCTGGTTATCACAGTTGATGATTCTAGGTCTCAGTTTCTTCACTAATTAAAGAAGAGGGTTGTACTCAATTATCTTTGAGGTTCCTTTTAGTCTAAATATCCTATGATTCAAGGAATCACAATACTACTATATACCTCATGGCCCTTGGTCTGTAAATCTATTATTAGAACAGGCCCTGAAGGAAGAGCAAGAATTTGGACAGTCTAGACCAGAATGACACATACTTCCCCAAATTAACAGCTCATTCTATAACTAAAGTGGAGATGATCAGGGCCTGACAGTAGCCAAAGGAACTACAGTCGGCCTTCCATATTCATGGGTTCTACATCTGTTGGTTCCCTCCACATCTATAGACTCAACCAAACATGAATTGAAAATATATGGAAAAAAAAAAAATTCCACTGAACAAGTGCAGTGACTTGCTTGTCATTAGTCCCTAAACAATACAACCATTTACATAGCATTTACATTGTATTTGGTATTGCAAGTAATCTAGAGATAATTTAAAGTACACAGGAAGATGTGCACAGATTAATGCAAATACTACTATAACAGGTTATATTAGGGACTTGAGCATCTGCATATTTCAATACCTATAGGAGGTTGCACAGATAATGAAGGACTGTAATATACAGCTACTAAAAAAGCTTTCTCTCCTATGCTCCAAAACAGAATAGACAGGGTAAAGACAACAGGGCACTGCAAAAAGAGCCCTGGATATGGAATCTGAAGACCAGTTCTGCTACTTCCTAGCTGTGTGCCCTTGACCTGTATATAGAATACTTCCATCTCTCTCATAAGTTTTAATGTAAGAGGATTATACATGATGACATGTGAAAGTGCTCAGGATAATACACAGTACATAGCAGGCACTCAATAAATGTTTAACAGGTGAATTAAGAGGAGGAAAAAACAACCCCTCTTCCTATTTTTTAAAAAAAATACTTTCTTATGGTGAGTCAATTTATGTTATGCCCTTGACAGACAAGTTTTGTTCTTTCTGCGATAGAGTTTTCCCCCTCCCCAAGATAACAAGGGTCAGTGAATGAAGTAAGAAGGCTTGGAAATGAGTCTCTGTAACATAGTAGAAATTACATGTTGTTTCCTGGAGCCAGAGAGCTAACTGTTGCTCTGAACATGGTACAAGATATTCTGCTACCCATTAGAAAAACAAAGAGAAAGAATGGAGCATATTTCACTCTCAATTTTCATACTGTGTTACGTTAACTCAGTGCCGCATGTTTAATTCCTGCCTTTTTAAATCAAATCTAACGGTTATGGGGTGATTCCTCAGTGGTAGGCACATATAACTCATTTAATCCTGACAAGAACCCTATGATATTGGTACTATTATTATCCCCATTTGGCAGATGAGGAAACTAAGCCACGGCAAAGTTAAATAACTGTCCAAGGCCACACAAATCATTAAATTGAGGATCAAACTCCAGGCAGTCTGGCTTTTGATCACATTGTGGTCCTCTTGACCTCCTTAGCACCAAGATCATTGCAATTGTAACCTAATGAGCACCTCCTAGATGCACTGGGCCCAGTGTTTGGCACTATATTCATTTAATTTAATCCTCAAAATAATTTAAAAGAATGGTGATATTATTATTCCTATTTTACACATAAAGCAACTGAGACTCAGAGGCTTAAAATAAACTTATCCATAGTTATGAAGCTAATAAATGGCACAGCTGGTATTTGAATCACGGTTTATCTGATGCCAAACCTCACCTTCTACTATATTTTGACTGCCTCCTCCCAAAGACTAACTTTATGAAAGAAACAACATAGCATAAAGAACTTCCCTACTTTTCTCCCAAACAATGAACCAATCACTCTACATTATTCATTTCTTTCTTGGTTGGACGCCTCAATGCCCTATAATCACCTCTTATTCCAAACATTTCTCAAATCCATTTTTCCAGATAAGGAAATTGAAGTACATAGTATCTAGCTACTTTTTCAGGTTTTCAGATTCCATATATTGTAGAGCTAGGCACTTTAATTCTACGTTCCCACTGTTATTCCCTAACCACTATGATCATACTTCCCCTTCCCTTCATCTGCCCCCAGAATCTCTTCCCTTGAGGGGCAAATTCTCACTGCAACATGAAGCTCAGCTATTTTCTTTGTATTATAATCAACCCTGCTATCATCAGCATTAAATATGAAACCTTTCTTCTAAAAGAGCTGACCCATTTCACATCAAGTAAGAGCATACTCTCAGGCGTGACCCCAAAATTACAAGTATTTGGGAATCTTCTGAAGCACTTCAGGAAACCACCTTAAACAATATACAGTGGGCATAACAACTTTAAAAACATTCCCATTATGAAAAGGGGATTTGGATGTGTCCAGGATTTAAGCTCTGACAGCACTTGGACAGGAGTGGTAAGTGGAAACCAACCTGGAGGGAGATAAGAAGAGATAAACTGGAGGAAGCAAATCTGGAGTCTAATTAGTTTAGCCATGAAAGGAAAGAAATATTGAAGGAGGTGATATGATCCAGTTGGAGGTTTTTCTTCCTCCTTCCCCTACAGAAAAAAAATTTCCTATTTATTCCCGGGTATCTGACATATAATAAGTGCTAAATAAACGTTAGTTGATTCAACACAATGGCCAAATTCTATGTTGTATTTTTTTCTTTTGAAAATCAGTTGGTAGCTGCCTTATATCTTTCTGGAAAGCAGTAATAATAAATAGGGTTAAATTATTATAATGTCCACAATACATAAACCTATGCTTTAATTTTCTCTAAATTAGGCAGATATATCCAACAGTAAATCATATCAGAAAGTAAAGGAGCTAAGATAGGAATAGAATAGAACCTGTGCATTCTCCCAAAGAGAGCAGCATAGAATTATAGAAAGAGCACTGGATTTGGAGTCAGACAACCTAGATTCAATCCTCAGCTCCATCTTATAGTGGCTGTGTGGATCTGGGACTACATTAGCATCCCAAATTTTAGTATTTATAAAACAAGTTATACCACCATTCTCCTTATAGGATTGTTGGGAAGATTAAATGGGAATGAACGCTCTTCATAAATGAGAATTGTGTCTTTTATTTTTTAAAAAATAAAGATTTTTAAAAATAGAGACTGCTTTAAAAAAAAAAAAGATCGCGTCTTATTTTTTAATCTTTTCCACCCAGGGCAAAAATGGCATACTGGCAGCTCAGTAATACAAAGTGTATGAATGCAGTGGTGGGCACATAGGAAACACAGAAGAGGAAATTATGAACCAAGGCAAAAGAAAGGAAGAAAGATGTTACATCTAGGGTGTGACTTGGTGTTGAGTGTGTTTTCACAGGAGAGAGTATTCAGTCATTCCTATAAAGTAGTCATCTAAACCAAAGAACAAAGGTGTGGTGTGTTACCTTTTGAAGTTGGCATGTAAAATTCCTGGAAGGAAAAGTAATGAAGAGCTAACGGTTCTTGGAAAGAGATTCAGAGAAGTGGCTGGGATAAATAACAAGATACTATTTGACTGCAGAGTTGTAAAGTGGAAAGAACAATGAATGGATAGTTTGAAGACCAAGGTTGGAATACCGGCTCAAAGTATGACCTTGGGCAAGTTACTTAACGATCTAGAGTCTCAATTGCAAAATGCAGATAATACCTCACAGGACTGCTGTCAAGATTAAATGAGATAATGGATAGGAAAAGCTGTTAATGCGATACAAATGATAGGTATTATTAGAAGTTAGATTCTCCACCCACTTACAACATAATATGTCCATGACCTTGGGCGTGATTTCAGCTCTTTGCACCTCGGTTTCCTCATCTATAAAATGGGAAGGATGATACCATCTACCTTATAAACACTTTGAGGATCAAATGAGACCATGTATGAGACATCAACGCCTTGAAAACTGTACAGTGCTATAGGTATATAAAGAACTGCCATCGTTGCTGATACGTTGTATGCATGTCAAGGGATGTGTTTATGCAGAGAAGCACGTATTTTTATGCTATACAGGTGAGGAAGCCTCGCATGCATTTATATATCCAAGAGTGGGGCACAGGGCATAGACGCACATCTATGGATTCCGGGGGTGTGACTTGCACGCTTGAGAGGAGGACCATAGGACAGGCTGCTGGGCCAGGAATCAGAGGAGTGGGCGCAAGAGTGGGGGCAGGGGGATGCAGGATGCAGGATGGAAAAGGCTGGGGGCACAAACACGCATGCCCAAGCCGGAAACGTCTTCGGGGGAGAGCAATGCGCATCCCCGGAATGAGGGGGGTGGGGAGGGATGCGATGTGCAAGCACGGAGGGCGGCCGGGGGGTGCGATACCACACGCCCGGGGCCAGGACTCTTTACCTTGTCGCTGTAATCCCTCAGGACTCGCTCGATAGCCCCCGCTTCGCCGGCCCGCACGATGTAGAGGGCGCGCTCCTCATCCATGGCCGCAGGTGCGGGGGAGCTGCGGCCGCTCTGCGCGCCCAAGCCGCTGCCTCCAGGTAAACGCCTCGCGCCCCCGCTCGCTCGCTCCTTCCCAGCTTCCTTCCTTCCCTCCTTCCCTCCCTCCCTCCTGCCTCCAACCCGCCAGCCTCCGCCCGGGCAGGCCCGACGTCACCGCCCCTCAACTTTCACCCCGCAACGTCACCGCTCCCCCAGCAACCGGCGCCTCGCGGCCGCCCCCGACAAGGCCCAGGACTAGGTCAGGGCCCGGCGAGCGCCCGAGGTGGGGTCAGGCCGGGGACTCTGCTTGCTCTTCTTCCCTCCGAAAAAAGTCCAGTCTTTTTAGTGAGCTTTCACAGACAGAACGGTTCTTCTTTCCTGAACCTGTTTTATGAATCATTCTCCTCAGCGGACGCGAGCGACCCAGTCTTCCCCGCCCATCTGCCAGCCGTCCGCTAAATGAACTACAACTCCCTGCATGCAATGGGGTCGTCCCACTCTTCCATCTGATTTACTGGAGTGCCGAGTGGCATGCTGGGATTAGTAGTTATCCTGCGGGAAAGACTTCCCTCCAAGGGCATTCTGGGAACTGTGGTCCTGCGAGGGCCGGAAACGGGAGTCTGGCTGCCGCCTGAGGCCAGCGGAGGAGGGACCGTTAGGGGGAGGGTCTAAGCCTCTGCCTTCGTTTTATTCCTTACGCCGCTGACAGTCCTGCTTCAGCCTTGGCTGGTTGGACCAGCTGACCGTCGCGGAAACTGCCACCCCTTGGTGGGAACTGTCAAGCACCAGTTTAATTCCCTGTTTTCTCGTTTAGCGTTTTCGGTCTCTGAAATTCTTTCCCTCCTCCCTTGTTTGCAGTCGTGTTGCGTATTCAGCTACGGTAATGTGGGAAATTGAAGGCAGTTATCTGGATGAAAGGGGACCTGGCGATTTTTTACCTTAATACTAATGTCTGCCATGCGTCTTGGGCCGACCGGTCTTCTGACTCTGTTAGGTGGTTTCCAGATGGCCTCTAATTCTCACAACACAGATTTTTGTGGAACCAAAAGGAACCCAGATAGTTTTTGTAATTTGTAAGTAATTTGTCCTAAGTCACATAGCCAGTAAATGGGGAAGTCAGTCAAAATTTGAAACCAGGCCTTTCTCCAAAGGCAGCTGCTCTGCAACCACCAGTAACAGTGATAATACTGCTCCGGTGGTGGTGGTGGTGATGATGGTGGAAGGTCACGTGCCAGGCACTCTTACATACTTCACCTGTGTTAGCTCAATCAATTGCTCACAAATTTATTCAATGAATATTTTGAGAACCTATGCTGTGCCAGGCGCTGTTCAGTGCATCGTGGATACAGTGGGCCCAAAATAAAGTTCCTGCCTTCATGGAACTTCCATTCTAGTGAGCAGCCATGTGAAGGAGATACTGATATTCTCATTTTAAGGAGAGGAAACTGAGTCTTGGGAGAGGTTAATGGATTAACCATATCGAAATTGTATGAATTTGATTGTATGAAATTGAAGCAACTGAATTTGAACTTAAAGGCTGTGCTTTTTCTGCTCTCCCAAGCTTTTTTGGTAGAGTGGATGATTCTCCAAGTAACTTCTAGTTTTCCACTTCAAACAACCTTTACTGGTAATCATTCTTGATGCCTCCCTCCCCTACCAGTCTCTGCCTCTTGAGCTGTGCTAAAAAGGAACTAGAGGGGGCAAAAATGTATTCATCTAATAATTGAGTTTCTCCTATGTTGTGCTAGGTATTCTGCTAGACACTGGGAATTTGGAGATAAAAACAAACATGGAACCTGAGTTTATGGAGCTTTGGGTTCTTTCTGTGGATTATATATTCTATGCAGCAAACATTTATTGAGCGTATTTGTGTAGGCAGGCATTGGGGTAGGTGCTGTGTCTGTAATAAATTAAATCAGAATGATTTTAATACATCTCTCAAAACTGCACACTCTTTAGAAAGGTCATGGAATGGTTAGCTACATTCCTAGGGTAATAGTAACATCTTGCAACTTTTTAACAGTTTACAAAACATTTTAATATGCATTATCTCAATGTATCATGGGGAAGGTGGTGTTCCTATTTTATAGATAAGAAAACAGGGTCAGATTAGTTAAGTAACAGAAACTGAGACTCAAACTGGGAGCTGATAACAAAGTATTTGGGTGCCTACTCTGTCTCCCATACAATTTTAAGTGCTTTTTGGGTAACCATATATTTATTTTTGGAGCATGGGTCTCCTGGAGAGGATATTAACAAGCATAAAATATCTGGTTTCAGTAGAGATGTTTCTCTTAATGAGGGTCTTACATATGTCTTTGAAATGTCTGTTTGCCAGAAATAGGCTATGATTTTAGGCTCCAGCCCTGCACTTCTGAAAAGAGATTTTTAAAATGCGAAGCCACATGAATTAACAGCTTGGGAAACTGTATTTTAGTCATTTTAATTAAGTGTTAATATTCTGATTTTATAAATCAAAAGGATCTTTGACTCTAATTCAAATCATCTTTTGACCACTGACGAGACTCTGGTCCCAGAAAAATTAAGTGGCATGTCCAAAGTCAATAGTTCAAAGCAGTCTCTGGGACTAGGGCCTAAACTAGCTGAGTCCTGGGTCAGGACTCACTTTACTTCCCTGAATATTAGTTATGTGATACTGTCAGTGACTAGGGACTCTAGTCCAGCTCTGATTCCAGTTCCTGTTGATTCTTGGGTGGCATGGTACCACGGAATTAGGATATAGAGCCTGGGTAATCAAGGCAACAAGTACTTATACACAGGTCATTGCTCTAAAAGATAGTCATGTAGTCACTGTATACATATATATGGATAGTACTTTATTCTCCAAATAGCTCCACATGGATTATCTAATTTAATCCTTATGGTAGCTAAAAATGCGGGGTCAATAGGACAGGCACTATCTTCTCTTTTACAGAGAAAAAGGAAGTTCAGGGTGTTGATTAGCTTACTCATAAGCAAATAAGTCTTCTAATAAGTGGCATAGTTAAGGGCTAGAAGTGCCCTGGGCTCTGATAACATAAAATGTTATGGACTTTCAGGTTAGGGCCAGTGAAAAAGCCTGCAAATAGATACTAGTCATGAACTTTGATATATCCTGCTGTGGCATTTCCTCTTGTCATGACAATGGGCTAGTTGGAATGTGCCAAATCGAAGGTCTTTAAGGAGTAGTTAACAGCTTTTAAAATTCAGTTCTTCTACATGTGACACTTTTTATACATTTTCTCTAGAAGAAAGCAGAAATTTAGAACCTACACAGATCAGTCTAGTTGCTATATCTCTAGGATTGGAGTTCAGAAAAACCCATTAATTTAAGATATGATCTGTTACTCAGCAACCACCACCTCACTATGTTGAGGCCACTCACTCATTTTCTTTTAAACCACAGTGTCCTCACCTGTAAAACCAAAGGATTGATCCAGGTATTATTTTAGTTTCCTGTCAGTGGTAAAATTTTGTGATTCTAAGAACAAAAGCCACATTGAATATGGGTAATTCTTTAGAAAAATGTGTTAAGGGCGGAGATGTGAAAATTAACATATGCAAATCAAATATCAATATGATATGTGCAAATCATGCTTGGGCATACCTGCAAAGATTCTGATTCAGTTGATCTGTGGTGAGGTCTGGTTATTGGTAGTTTTAAAGGCTTCCCAGTTGATTTGAATGAGTAACCAAGACTGAGAACCATTAGACCAGTATTTTGATAGAGTATCCACCACTGAACTAGGTTTTTTTTTTTTTTTTTTAATTTTTTTTTTGAGACAGAGTCTCACTTTGTTGTCCAGGCTAGAGTGAGTGCCGTGGCATCAGCCTAGCTCACAGCAACCTCAAACTCCTGGGCTCGAGTGATCCTTCTGCCTCAGCCTCCCGAGTAGCTGGGACTACAGGCATGTGCCACTATGCCCGGCTAATTTTTTATATATATATATATCAGTTGGCCAATTAATTTCTTTCTGTTTATAGTAGAGACGGGGTCTCGCTCTTGCTCAGGCTGGTTTTGAACTCCTGACCTTGAGCAATCCGCCCGCCTCGGCCTCCCAAGAGCTAGGATTACAGGCGTGAGCCACAGCGCCCGGCCTTGAACTAGGTTTTTTATAGGCTACTTTATTTGTGCATGTAACTCATTAGTTAATCTTTGAGAAATTAGAATAGCCTGGCAAGATGAAAGTTATTTTTATTTCATTTTCTACCAAGAATGAAGTCTCCCTTTCATGGCAACATATTTTGTTCCTTTAACAATATTTAATGTTCACTGGAGTACGGCATTGTCCCAGCTACCATAAAAAATAAAAACAAGTAGAAACAATTGATCCTGTCCTTTGGGAATATAAGAAACAACCAGACAATAAATGATAGGAAAGAGCAAATTGAACACAGTACTGTGCAAATAAAAACAAGATAAGCATTAATGGGAAGGAGAGTAATCAGAGAAGCCTTCTTGGAGGAGGTGAGCTATAAGGAGAGAATGGTGGAGAGAGTTTAGAGGGCTCCCAGACAGCAGGAAATGCTGTAAGAAAAGGTGGGAAGGCCCAAATTAACAAGATGCTTATTGAGAATATTACCAACTTAGTTGAACTTAAAAGCCAATGGGGATTTCTTAGAGGTCAGTTTGGTCAGTGGGGTAAGGAAAAGTTAAATCTGAGAGATGTTTCACAGTCAGTGAAAACACTCTAAGCAGCCGGTTCAACTTAAGCGTGCAACATGTTATATTTCTGAAAATGCTACCTGACAATGCCATGTGACTCAAATAGAACTGGGAGACAGAGAAGGGTCTGGTGCCGGCTAGCTTCAGATCTTTCTCTACACTATTTTATCTCTAGATCTCAATTACAAAATTAGTTGGACTAGATGACTTCAGTTTTTTTAACTCTTAAAACTTTATGATTACTTGATACAGCCTTTCAGCACCTTTATGAAGTTCCTCACTAATATTCCCAGTATTCTAATTGCTAAAATTGAGCCTATGCCATTAGTCCTTGGCAAACGTACCTATAGTTGTTTAATATTGATGAACTATCCACAGTGGAGCTCTCAAATTAAGCACACAAAATGGGCTCTGCCATTTAGGAGTTTTTATTTATCCAAGAGCTGGAATGTGGGTCAGACCTATTTGCATCTTGCTGACTTGGAATCCTTTCCAAACACCTCTTGGGAAAACCCAGCACTTTGGGTGGCAATGCTGTAATGTGGTGAAAAGAACCTGGACTGGGAAATGGAAAACCTGGTTTTCAGTCCCGACTCACTATGTGAGTCTCAAAAACTGATCGTTTGTCAAATTCCTTGAAACCCTTCTGGCAACCAATTTTTTATATCTAACAGGAAAACCCAAAAGCCAAAAGACTGTAGCTTGAATTTTAAATCTGCCTCTGGGTGTTCAGGGATAAGTCCTTTACCCTCCTTGAGCACTAATTTTCTCAACTATAAAGAGCATAATTATACCCACTTTGCAGGATGTCGTAAGGGTTAAAAGAGTTGGCTGTCAAAGTGGCCAACAAGGCAGACCTGGTGGGGAGCAGGCACTAAAATGTTAGCCAAACTGGAATGAAAAATGCAGCCTCCCTCTTAAGGATGTTGTGAAGATTGGGGCTAAAGGTCATGTTATTCCTATGGATGCACAAATGCATGAGTTTTGTTCTTGTTGCTGCTGCTGTTTTTAACAACAGAGAAGTAATTCCAACACACTGGTCTTTAAACCTTGAAGTTAACATCTTTAACACTGACAGTTTGGGTATAGTGACGGGTGTGTGTGTGAATAAGGAATGTAAAACTCTTTCAATACCCCCTCCCCACATCAATATCTTTGCAATTAAGTTTGTTGAGATTCACATGTCAGAGGAAATATATTCTCACAACCCTACTTCCCACCACCTCCTTTTGCCGTAAAGCATTAATTTACTTACCAACATTT